CTCAGTAGTTCTGGCATGTAGGCTTAGTTGTCCATAGCATGTGAGATCTTCCTGGACCAGGGATCCAACCCAAGTCTCCTTCATTGGCAGGCAGATTCTTTATTACTGAGCCACCAGGGAAGCCATCGCCGAGAGATTTTTTTTCAGCTGTATGAAGGCCAGTAAAGAAGAAATAAGTTAGCGGGCAGGAGCCTGTCTGCAGGGATATAACCAGGAGGGTGCAGGGCAGTGGGTGATTGGACCTCCCTGGGCTGAGAAGTTCCCAAGTGACCTGAGTGCTGTCGCCAGAAGCTGACTCCAAGGGGCCATGGGTTCCGTGGGTCGTTGAACCTGACATATCTGTGTATTCACGGGTCATGCTGTCCCTTGGCTGTCACTAGGACAGTCCAAATGATTGCTTCATGTCACTTATTGACTCTTCTTCCGAACAGGAATGGTTCCCCCTTCTCTGATTTGTGAAAGCTTTTATTGTTGTTCAGTCGCTAAGTCAGGTCCGGCTCTTTTCGATCCCATGGACTGCAGCATGCCAGTCTTCCCTGTCCTTCACCATCTTCTAGAATTTTCTCAAATTCATGCCCATTGAGTAGGTGATGCCATCCAAATATCTCATCCTCTGTTGCCCCCTTCTTCTCCTGCCTTCAGTCTTTCCTAGCATCAGGGTCTTTTCCAATGAATCAGTTCTTCGTATCAGGTGGCCAAAGTATTGGAGCTTCAGCTTCAGCATCAGTCTTTCCAGTGAATATTCAGGGCTGATTTCCTTTAGGGTTGACTGGTTGGGTCTTGCTGCATCAGTTCTTCAGTGCTCAGCCTTCTTTATGGCCCAACTCTCACGTATGCTAATTGTACACTTAAAACTGGGGAGAAGCCAGAGTACTTTGACTATCTCTGGCTGGTAGGGTGAGGAGTGACTGCTCTTGGGTTCAGGGAATCATGCCAACGTCCTTGTCCTGTGCGCTCCAGGCGTGTGGACACATGTGTTCCCTGGGCAGGAGGGCTGTGAAGGCTCACACAGGATTAAGTGGGGTGTGGACACAGGAATGTGATTTCCGGTTGCTTCTCCCTATGAGGTTTCCCTCGAGCAGTGGGTCAGGGCATGCAGCTCCCAGGTCTCCAGTGGCACAGACGGAGGGACAGTCTGCCTGCAGCGTACTGGCCTTTATCTGCCTCTGGGGAGGTTTTCAGGTTAAGGTGTCCGAGGCACAGGGCTAGTCACCCTCGGGAGTAAACGGTGTGTTGGGAGGAGCAGCCATCAGCAGACTGGGGACTGGTCCCTGTGCTGTCAAGCAGAAGTCTCAGTTCAGTTCACTCAGTCGTGTCCAACTCTGCAACCCCATGGACTGCAGCACACCAGGCCTCCCTGTCCATCACCATCTCCCGGAGCCTGCTCAAACTCACGTCCATCGAGTTGGTGATGCCATCCAACATCCAACCATCTCATCCTCTGTCATCCCCTTCTCCTGCCTTCAATCTTTCCCAGCATCAGGGTCTTTTCCAATGAGTCAGTTCTTCTCATCAGGTGACTAAAGTGTTGCAGCTTCAGCTTACTGACCAAACTGATCACATGGACCACAGCTTTGTCTAACTGGACGAAAGTATGAGCCATGCTGTGTAGGGCCACCCAAGATAGATGGGTCATAATGGAGAGTTCTGACAAAATGTGGTCCTCTGGAGAGGGGAATAGCAAACCACTTCATTATTCTTGCCTTGAGAACCCTATGAACAGTATGAAAAAGCAGGTCTGGAGCTCATGTTTTTAATAAAAAGCTTGGTATTCTGCCTCTTCCCCTCCCCCCCACTTCAAAGACATTAAAAATGACAAAAATGAGATGAATGAATGAAAAAAGAGTGTCCACACAGTGTTCCACTGTGGGAGCCAACAGGGTCCCTTGACAGGGTCCGGAGCTGGAAAGCCCCCCCGCCACCCCCGGCTGGCCTCTTGTCTCCTGGCTGGCCTCTGCGGGTTAGGATTTTCAGTGGCAGAGGCCAAGTCACCTCACATTCGTGAGCTTGGTACTCCTGCTTCTGACTTCCCGACTCTTTCCCGTCATCAGCAGCTGTCTCGGCACCTCAGACCTCAGGGAAGAGGTGGGGAGTGGAGAACCTTGCCAGAAACCCTCCTGGGGACTCCATGACAGGCTGACGGTGAGGTGCCAGGAATACCCTGAAACAGCTAAAAGCCTATGTTGTTGTAGTTTAAAATTTTTTATTAGGGAAATACATGCATAAAGACAACTATCACTACAGAGTGTATAACCCAATCCCTCAGTCTCCAGTCCGATGTCCCTATCTGACCTGGAAACACAGTCTTCTGTTCGGGAAATATTTGTTTTATTTTTTTGAGAAATTCTTATCTTCTTAAATGAGTAAATGCTACTTTTGAATAAAATCTCATAAACAGAAATATATTAAAAAAGATCACCATATGTACCCTATACTGATCATTGTTAACATTTCTTTTTCTCCTAATTCAAAACGTAATTTTGCTCATTAGGAGACAAGTATCTATTGAGTCCTGGGTGGTGCTCCACTGCCCTCTAGAGGTGAAACTGGTGCACTGCAGCCACCTGACCAGGTAGGTAGCGTATGAGGCCGAGAAGCTGGCTGAGCATCTCACCAAATAGTTCGTTCCCTGCAAAGATTGAGGCAGAAATTCTAGAATACTCAGTGTAAAATATTGGAACTAGTAGAACTAGTGTTTTGTGTGGTTCTTTTTTGCTAATATACTATAGCTCTTCCAAATCATTTATATGACAAAAACCTCAGAGATTGTCTCTCCTTAAAAAAAAAAAAAAAATTTAAACCCAAGTCTTCCTTGGTGTGATGGCTTGTGATGGCTTCTTCACCCAGCTATCTGGTATCAGGAGAGGCCACACCCGCCTAAGGGGTCTTGGACTCCTTCTCTTTGCCATGAAGCTGCTTTCAGTTGAAGATAATAAGAAATCTGTATTTCAACGTGTCTTTCTGGTGTTTTTTTTTTTTTTTCCCCACAGTAACAATAGCAAAAGTTTCCCTTCCTCTATTTGTAGCTGAAACAAAAAATTTGAAATGCACAGCTTTAAGGAAGAAACAGGACAAGGGAGCTGGCTGACCCAAGTGGGCCCTGGCATCCCAGGAGTGCCAGCTTCCCAGAGAAGGACAGGACGAGCAGGGCCCCCACAGGTGCCTGGGCTCAGGGGTGACCTGCAGACCCTTGACCCAGGCCTGCCCCTCCTATTCAGTGTTCCCACACTCAGCTGTGCCACTGCCCAGCCTGTCTTACAGTCCCCAGCCTGAGACCTGAGACCCAGACCCTTCAGGTCACCAGCTATGCTTGAGCTGTTGCCCCATCCCAGGGCCTCCCTGACCTTGGCTGACACTCTGCACCCCTGAGCACAAACCCAGCTTGCTGCCAAGAACTCCGACAGCTTAATGATAAACCTGCAGCCTAAAACTATATGAGAGTGACTGAGTCCCTGGCATGGGAATCCAGAGAATGTTCTGGAGCCTGTGCATGTGTGCTCATCTGTGTATTTAACGTGTCCTGAGTTACAGGCAGGACACACTGCACCATCTGCCAGGCCGAGACGGGAATGTGGGTCCAGCTCAGGAGTCTTCATCCTGCCTGGTCCATATCTCCAGGCACCTGCTCTCAGCCCTCTCCCCAGGGGCACTGAACTGAGGCCCAAGAAGCCCTGCGTTCTGCTTCTACATCCCATGGGCATTGTTGGGGGGACGGGGAAGCTGTGCCTCAAGGTATTGGGATCTTAGTTCCTTGACTAGGGACCAAACCTGTGCCCCTGGCAGTGGTTAAGTTCAATCTTAAGCACTGAGAAGTCCCCTATCTTAGTAACTGTTGTGTCCATTTTGGCAGTATTAAGTACATTCACAGTGTTGTACAACCATCCATCCCCACAATTCTTGTCCTCTTGAAAAACTGAAACACTGTCCCCATTGAAGAACGACTCCCCTCCCACAACCCCCATTCTCTCTGTCTCTGTGGATTCTGTCACTGCACGTCCCTCATATAAGTGGAATCACATGGAATCTGTCCCTTTGTGATGGGTTATTTCACTCAGCATCATGTCCTCAAGGTTCATCTGTGGAGTAGCAGGTGTCAGGATTCCCTTCCCTTTAAAGGCTGAGTAACATTACATTGTCACTGCAACAAAAGTCTGTGTAGTCAAAGCTATGGTTTTTCAGTAGTCACATACAGATGTGGGAGTTGGACCATAAAGAAAGCTGAGCACCAAAGAATTGATGCTTTTGAACAGTTGTTGAAGACTCTTGAGAATCCCTTGGACTGCAAGATCAAACCAGTCAATCCTAAAGAAAATCAACCCTGAATATTCACTGGGAGGACTGATGCTGAAGCTGAAGCTCCAATACTCTGGCCACCTGATGCAAAGAACTGACTCATTAGAAAAGACTCTGATGCTGGGAAAGATTGAAAGCAGGAGGAGAAAGGGGCAACAGAGGATGAGATGGATGAATGGCATCACCTACTCAATGGGCATAAGTTTGAGCAAATTCCAGGAGATGGTGAAGGACAGGGAAGCCTGGCGTGCTGATGTCCATGGGGTCACAAAGAGGCAGACACGACTGAGTGACTGAACCACAGCATTCCATTGTGTGTCCATTCATCTGTCTGTGGACATGGAGTTGTCCCCATCTTTTGACCACTGTGAACAATGCTGCTGTGGATATGGGGGTACAAATATCTGAGTCTCCACTTTTACCTTTTGGATGTAGGCCCAGAAGTGGGATCGCTGGCTCACAATAGTCTTGTTTTTAATCTTCTGAGAAAGCACCTGATGTTGGCCACACTGGCTGCAGCTGTTAAGGCCGGGCCAGTGGTGCTGGGGTTCCTTGCTCCAGGTCTCACCGCATTTGGTTTCTCTTCTGTTCTTTCGCTGCTAAGGGCTGCACCGTGCTCTGCTTTGCATTTCCTGCTGATAGGTGAAGCAGACTTCTGACTTTGAGTTGTTTTGAATGCTCATGGCTCACTCTCCACTGCTTTCCAGGAAGGAGATGAAGATGCTGGAGATGTCGGGGTACCTGAAAGGCGAGCTGGGCGCTGAGGAGCAGCTGTCACTCATCAGCGGCTGCTCTGACCTGCGGGAGGCAGTAGAGGGCGCCCTGCATGTGCAGGTGAGTGGGAACACCTACCCACCCAGCTGGCAGGGCCTGTCCCCGGGTCCTTGGGTCAAAGGCAGGGGGAGCCGTGGGGATCGTGAGCCCACAGGTGCGGATGGCGTTCACGTGACCAGAAACACTGTCTCCCCAACCCCCCCCCACCCCCTCCCCAAGATGGAGTTCGCTCTTGGGTTGTTAGAATGTTGAGCAAAAAGAACATCTTCTGGACAGCTAACACTTTCCTATTTTCATCTAACTGGATGAGGGACTGTTGTTCTGAGATACAAGAGATCGCCTAAGAGAAACCCTTTCGTGTCTTGTAATGTTTGCATTTACTTTTTCCAACGACTTCACTCAGAGAATCAGGCTGTCCCCACCGCCAAGGACACTCCAGGCCCAGCAGACTGGGGGCAGCTCGGTGCCCATGCAGGCTCCAGCCCACCAGGGCCTGAAGGCAGCCCCCTCTCCATGAAGACCCGGTGTCTCCTGGCTTCCAAAACGTGACGCTTAAGCTGCCCGGGGTTGACGGGGCCTTGCTCCTGAGCCCCTCCTCGCCCCATGTCCAGCCAGTGCTGCTGTCTCATCTGGTCTGTGACGCTGGTTGAACTGAGAACTGGGAGCAAAGCCGGGCCTGAGCGGGGCTCCTGGTGCAGAGGCCTCAGGCCTGATGCTCCTCCAGTCCACACTGTAGACTTCCTCGTCTCCTCCCGCTCTTTCTACCACATCTTGTGTCCCGCTCAGTGAAGGGTCCAGGACAGACACCAACCAGGCCCTGAACGCTGAGCCCCTCATCCTGGCCCACTGAGGCCTCGATTCCCGTCCTCAGAGGTTGTGGTCACCTCAAGTGACCCTTATTCCAGGCCAGGCTCCATTGATTCCAATGAGAACAGTAGGAAACCCCTTTTGGGGTCAATTTGATACATGATATTTACATGATGGAAGTGAATGCTTACAATGACGTGTATGATGTGACCTGACAGGTGAGCATGTGACGTGTCACCACACGTTTCCCAGAACAATGGTGTCCACTTGGGTCTGTCTCCACTAGAGTGATTTGGCTTCTTTTCTGAACAGTTTCCAGTGCCCTTTGCTTTTTCCTCTGAGACGTTTGCTGTGCTTTGTAATCCGTGTGTGATGATGGCTGCAAAGTTTCATCTCCAGCCTCAAGTACTAATTGTCAAGCCTTCCGTTGTTTTTTTTCTTCCCTGCAGTGGTATGGTATGATCCACATGATAACTGGCAGTGTTATTTTTCTAAAGCAATCTTTGTATGTTAGTTTCGTGTTAGTTTCTCAGTCGTGTCCGGCTCTCGTTGACTCCATAGACTGCAGCCCACCAGGCTGTTCTATCCATGGAATTCTCCAGGCGAGAACACCCAAGTGGGTTGCCATTTCCTTCTCCAAAAGCAATGTTTATGAGGTTCATTATAAATTTTCCAGCACTAGCCATTGCAAGGGAAGCCCTGTGGCTTAGTGGTAAAGAATCCACCTGCCAATGCAGCGGATGTGGGTTTGAATCCCTGGGTCAGGATGATCCCCTGGAGGAGGAAATGGCAACCCACTCCAGTATACTTGCCTGGAGAATTCCATGGACAGAGTTTGGATGGAGTCGAAAAGAGTGGGACATGACTAAGCAACTGGGCATGCACACATGCAGCTATTGCAAAGTCATGCCCCAGGAATAATTAACATGTCTGTGTTAAATTTCTTTTTCTCCTGATCCCATTTAAAAAAAAAAAAAAAGGATTCTGGGACTTCCCTGGTGGTCCAGTGGTTGGGACTCAGTGCTTCCATCCCCTGGGGCCCAGGTTTGATCCCTGGTCTGGGAACTAAGATCACAAATGCCACATGGAAAAAAAAGAGAAAAAAGACCTTGAACCTAAAGAGTCAAGGCTCAGGGCTGCACTTGCTCTCCAGGGGCCTCACAGCACCTCCAGTGTTAGTGCTCAGAGACCTCCTGTTAGCCGCCTCCTCTGAGCAACTCTGTATGGCTCCCTCTTTCCTGTTTAAGGAAAATTTTCTCATCGTGGAAAAATTCACCTAGGCTTTTTGGAGGCTTCTTTGTTTATAAAAAGAAAACGATCATTGCTTTAGGGAATTGCTCAAAGGCAGGAGGAGAGCATGTGAATTAACACAAACACTTCTTTAATCACAGACCTTCCAGTTGTGCGAGTTACTGAGCCCTGGGAATCACCACCCTAGAAATGCGAGTGGTCAATTTGTCTTCCACCCAAGTCCCAGTGGGCGGGTGCCTGGGTCAGAAGGTTTCCTCTGCTAAAATGTGAGAAGGAGTGAGAATGGAACCTGAATTTCTAGCACTTAGTGCAATTTTGAAATCAAATCTGGCCTGGCAAGAAAATCTAGTGTGCTGGAGAAATAAGTATATTCTGAAAAGCTTCTAAAGTATTGACCGTTGCATAGCGTTAAGGGTCATTAGCTATGACACAGAGGCTTTATCTCATCTCTGCAACTTTTTACCTAAGATCCAGGTAGCTAGCTGGTAGGAGCCATGGGAATTTTGGTCATGGAATTGTGAGCTCTAAATGGACTTTCCTTATAGTCAGCACAGACAACTCAGATGTGTTTTTCCATGTCAATCTGAACCTTTACCTCTAAAACTGGGTAAATGATTAGTCATTTTGGTAAGGACTTTGAGATTGTTAGTAATTACAGGAAGCAGTATTCGTAATAAATACTATGGTTTAAAATTTATACATTTGCAAGGTCGGCCATTTTTTTGGTCTTGTTCCACTGAGACTCAGAGTGATCCTCCTTTTGGTAGGAGTGGGGGGGGGCTGCGGGAGGCGCGGGGAGAGGCGGGCGGCAGCACTGAGTGTGCGCAGGAGTGCACGTTGAAACCTGAATTTCATTTTTCCTGTTCCATGTGTGTTTTAATTTGTAAAATCGGATTATTATTCACATATAATAAAAGCCGGCAGTTTTAGTGTTCAGGTCTGTGTGTTCTGACAAATGCATGTGGCCATGTCACCACCCTCCCCCATCTCCCCCCGCCCTCCCCAGCTTCAGAGCATTTCGGCTACCCCACAAAGTCCCCTCCTCCCACTTTGCGGCCTGACCCAGGCCCCAAAGCCGCTGGTCTGGTTTTGTCCCTGCAGCTTTGCCTTTTCTGTAATGTGGTACAATGTGGACTCACCAGGACTGCACGTGATTTGTTAGATTTACTCATAAATGTGTCCTGATTTAGATGCTACTGTAAATAGTACCTTAACAAAATTTCAGCTTCTGCTTGCTCATTGCTAGTACATAGTAATATAGTTAAAAGTGGGTTGTTTAATTTATTTAAATTTGGAGGGTTTTCCATATATCTTTGTTATTGATTTTTAGTTTAAATCTGTTCTGGTCTCAAAACATACTTGACGTTATTTCAATTCTTTTATTTTGTTGAGGCATGTTTTATAACTCAGAATATAGTCTGTTTTGGTGAATATTCCATATGCAGTTGAGAGAAATGTATTTAGAAGTGAACTGTAATATGTAAATATGGGTAAAGTTGCTGGATAGTGTTATCCAGGTCTTTTCCATCGTAACGGATTTTCTGTTACTTCTATCCATCAATGAGAGAAAAGTATTGACATCTATAATTGTGGGTTCATTTCTCAGTTCAAACCAGGCATATAGTTGGGTGTTGAGCTTCTGCCCACTCTGACAGACCCTTTTAATTAGCACGTTTTGGTCCATTGCATTTAGTGTAATTATTGATAGGGTTGGATTAAAAGCAACTGTCTTGCTTGTTCTTTTCCATTTGTTCCATTTGTTTTGTGTTCTTCTTCCCCACCCTACTTTTCGGCTGGCTTGTAGATGGAGCATTTCTTATCATTTCATTTATCTCCATGATTGTTCATTTATACCTCTTAGAAATATTTTTTTGGTGATTACCATAGGGTTTATAAAGTTTTTTTCTAACTAGTCATGGTCTATCTTCATGTATTGGGTAAGAACCTTATAGCAGCACATTCCCAGCACCTTTCTGCTTTTCTGCTGTTGTCACAGGTTTTCCTTTTACACATCCTGTCACAGCACATACAGCTGCTGCCTTTTCTTTGTATAGTCAACTAGTTTAGGGCAATTAAAATTAAACTTTATATTTGCATTTTCACCATTCCAGCATTCTTCAATTCTTTGTGTAAATTCAATTTCTCCTGAATTTTTTTCAATTTTATTTATTTATTTATTTTTTTCTGTGTCTGATGTCAGGGGCAGATTGGCCGATGAATTGAACGTGAAGGTACAGTAACCCAGCAGGGGTAGTGATATCTAGGTTGGTATATTTCTGGACTGCCTCTGTGAGGCGTGCCAAGAATAAGGCTGGATTGTCGTCTGCCCCTTGGGTGACTTCCCTGACTTTATCATAATTGACATGGATATGAGTATTTTTCTGCATTCCTTCTAGAATGCAGGTGATCATATGATTGAGTCTCCTGACACCTGGGTCACCAGGCTGGTAAGTCCAGTGGGGCTCTAACTGAAGTACCGCCTCATCAGCAACTGGGCTGTCCCGGTCTTGGTTATGTAAATGATCAGCATGGGCTTTTGCCGCTTGCCAGATACGGTCTTTTTCATCTAGGGTGAGAGTGGCATTTAGGATATGATATACGTCACTCCATGTGAGGTTATAGGCCTGGGAGAGTCTCAGGAATTCTTTTCTGTATCTGGTAGGATTTTAAGAAAATGATCCTAACTTTTCTTCTATCTGGCTCATATCTGAAAATGAAAATGGCACATGGACTCAGGTGGGGCCCTCTGGTCCTGCCACCTCTCTCAGGGGAAACATGTGCTGGGTACGTGACCATGTGGCAGGTGGGGAAAGAAGGGGGGAGGGGGAGTTGGGGAGATGGGGTAGCGGGGCTGAGGGGGAGTCAGGAGAGGTTTCAGTGCCAGTAGGTGAGTTGGATGAAGGGGAAGGAGAGGGGCGGCGGGGTGGCAGGTAGGGAGGGGACTCATCCGCGGGGTCGAACTCTGGGGGTGCGGAAGGTTTCGGTCTGCGGTTAGTTGAGGA